GCTCAGGATATTCTTTTCGTGGGTTTTCATCTTTATTTACCAGCAAATTATTAATGTACGTTTTTCTTTAGATATTGTATTTCTATTGCAAATAAAAATCTATGTCCGAGATAACTACGCACGGCTGTGAACTAAATCCAGACTCATACTTAAAAAGAATTTTACATTCCGGCATACGTGAATTTTAAGGCCTACTTTAGAAACATTTTTTTTTGTGGAACACTTCATAGTTAAGATAATGAAATGCGGTTTTCGCCTTCTAGTTTTCTCTTCTTTTGTAGATCACTTCCGGTTTAACCGGAAATGACACAGCGTATTCTTGGGGATAGGCTAACAATGTGCATTCAAATGGAATAAAAATTAGAAGAAGACTGGTGGAAAAAGCATTTAATTATCTAAACTAGTTAAAAAGTTATATAGGTTTTTCCATAGATATATAACCAAGACAGATATGATTATTTACAAAATTTCTGAAGCCAACGCGGATGATCCTCGGCAGAAATGCAATATTTGGATTAAACGTTGATGCCAAGTTTGCGATGTTTTTATCTGTAGTAATGTAATTTCGTATGCTTGCAATACTGTTGAGTCTTTAAATTATTCAAAAAAAATTTACGTCTGACAACAGCCTAACTAGGCTTGACCGTTATTGTAGTATTTGTAAGTAGGGTCGTAGATTTGTTTCATTCATAAAACTCCTTCGATACAGTACTAGTCCAGGAGCCAATGAATTTTTTTCGTACTTATTTTCCCGGTCGGTGCTTTTCCTAGTGAACTGTATATTTAAAATGGAATACAAGTCTCTATTAAAAAAGTAAGCCAAATTGAATTCGCGCATAACATCACAACGATACAGGTGAGATTGCGTACAAAGTGCCTTTGCAGGCCTATTTTGGCCATTTCATGTATTTGTTTTTAAATCATTAGAAATTAATATTTTTAACTTTAACAAGAAGAAAATCCAATTAACTCTTCCGTTATATTTTCCTAAAGGTGTGTCCTTACCACTAAGTAATAAATTTTACATTTTTTACCATATACGGGAATTTCAAAAATTAGAAATTAGGGCAGTTACTTATTTTTAAGAATATGGAAATATTTTATATGGAATCAGAGCCACCTATCTCAAAAAAACAAAATTGATATGCACTAAGTATCGACAGATTTTATTATTTTTTACTCTATGAATAACAAAAGTATATTTTGAAAGTCATTTGTAATAGATAAACCAATATATAAATTTGGTAAAATTTGCCTTCAGATCGTCTGGAGGCTTTTTCCAAGAAGGATCTAATAGTGTTAAGCCTGATAGAAATAATAGATCTCTTTACACACACAAATCAACTGGGAGCATAAACATGTTTAAGTGACGAGGCCTAAAACCTTGATTAGCGGCATTAATTTCATTAGGGTAATACATTTCCATTTTAATAAAACGCGCTAAAATAAATTAACTGTAGTTTCATTAATAAAGTAATAACATTAAAATTATCCATAAAAACGACCCCATCTCAAGCAACTTATTTTCAGTGATTTAAGTTTTCGATTCAGGTTTTATTTTTTTGTTAATAAATTAAAAGTATTCTTTATCGATAATAACAATTTAATAGATGAGAAATACGTTTTTTACATTTTTAATGTAATTTACAGAAAATAGCTAGGTATGTATGTTAGCGGTGTTCCTCTGTTTCCCACCACACATTCTTGAAGTCCATACACATGCGTGTCAGGATGGACGAGCGGGAGAAGGCAGACCAGCGCAGTGAGCAGTACGCGAATAGACAGTGGCAATACCACAGCAACATTGTAATTGAGAATACTTGATCGTGAATTAAACCATTGAAAAGCAGTTTAGACATTTTTATTAGGGATGATACATCCCTTATGTTTCAAACACTGGTGTTTAGTGTTAGGGTGACAATCCCACCAAATTTAATTAAAGAAATCATAATATTAAAGTAGCACCAGTGTTTGGTGTTGTAGCACTAGTGTTTAGTGTTAGGGTGGCAATCCCACCAAATTTAATTAAAGAAATCATGATATTAAAGTAGCACCAGTGTTTTGTGTTGTAGCACTAGTGTTTAGAGGGTGGCAATCCCACCAAATTTTCCTGAATAAATTATGATAATAAAGTAACACCAGTGTTTGGTGTTGTAGCACTAGTGTTTAGTGTTAGGGTGGCAATCCCACCAACATTAATTTAAAGAGTAATTAATCGTTTAGCGTTTAAAAAGAACATTAGTGATAATGTTCATAAGTCGTAACAGTAGTTCTGTTTTCGTATTTTGTAATTCCAGATATATGTGGCGCGAGGACGCACCAATTGCAGGATGGCCGTGTTAGCGGTGTTCCTCTGTTTCCCACCACACATTCTTGAAGTCCATACACATGCGTGTCAGGATGGACGAGCGGGAGAAGGCAGACCAGCGCAGTGAGCAGTACGCGAATAGACAGTGGCAATACCACAGCAACATTGTAATTGAGAATACTTGATCGTGAATTAAACCATTGAAAAGCAGTTAGACATTTTTATTAGGGATGATACATCCCTTATGTTTATATGTATTTGTTTTTAAATAATTTGACAATTTATGAAAAAAGGGAGAAAAAGTGGAATTACCCAGGGGCGCTCGAAAGCGGCCCTACAGGGGTATCCGGGGGGGGGGGGGGGAAATTGCGTAGTCCATGTGAAGCACTCCAAACTCGTTACTCGTGGGGTTTTTGGGGATGCCGAATTAATCTGGCATCAGATTTTCCCGGGGGCACAGGAGTGGCTCAGTGGGGGTGCGCGGGGGGTGCTCACAGATGAATCAGACTATTTTTTTTACTTAATTTCAGTATACCTCGTACTACTAGAATTATTTTTATCAATGGAAAAAAAGGGCCGTGTTTTCGTATGTTCTGGTCTCAACCCATCGCACCCCCCTCTAAATATATATGAATTTTGCTTAGAACCCTACAATTCTCTATCCATGTTTGCTGACTGGGAAAATAAATACCGAAAATCGTCACTGTCTCCTGGACTATACAGTTAATAGATGATGATGATGAGGCGCTGTCAGAAATGTTTTACGAAGATAATAGGACCTCTCACTCCGATTTAGAAATGGCGTGATGGCTTCAGAACAAATACACTTTTATCAATGGCTAGATGGGGATGTGGGTTTTTCAATATGTGGTTTTTCATTGAAAATCTTTAGGGTTTCAAGAGGTTCACTTTTTGGTTGGTCAATCAGCCTAATAATTGTACCGAACCTAATCCACAGTTTCTAGTTTCTTCTATTTCATTATATTATTATTATTATTTAGGTACCATAACGGAATTCAGGCGAGACCGAAATTCGAAAACAGTCTCTTCACGTCTGAATACATGTAAGTTTATGAAACACATTTGGGAAGGCGCGACAGACGACAGCACTTTTAGTAAGGCAATATTTGCTACCTTGCTGCTGTCGTCTGTCTCCGTCTCACGTTCCCAAATTGTAGCTTTCTGGTCATTATTTAACAAACGCTATTTTTTGCCTACCTTCACGGGATCATCTTCCAGGTAAAACTGGTTCACCTGAGATGTAGCTTTGTTGGTAATTTTTTTATGCATAAAAAATTTAAAATTTTTATTGGTAATAGTTTTGTTGCTATGGATTTCGTAAATACAAAGTATCTCAAGTGATCCTCATACATAATATCTCCAAAATATTATAACATCATATCGTTAATAAAAAAAGTGTTTATTAATTTAATCAAATAGTGATAAAACTAAACAGTGAATGGTGAAATTAAAATTTACATACAGCACATTTGCTTAATTTCAATTTTAATAATAGCCTTCTCCGATCTGAACTATTTTAAATTGATCTAAAGATAGGCGTTCATGAAGGCCACTAAAGTTTATACAATGTCTGTCTATGTTTGTTTAATCTCCCATAGCTTGACATTAATTTTTGCAAAGGATGTCGGTTATACAGGTTCTCTTAAGCCCGGTCTAAAAATAATTCTACTAAAAATATATTTCAAAATCAAAGTACATTAAGAGTAAATTATAATCTCTCAGGAAGAATAACTCAAATATATTATATAAAATTAACTCACTAAAAAAATCGATAATCCTGTAGATGATATAGCAGTCCCGGAATTGCTAAAATCCTCTGGTGAGAAAGAGCATCCTCGATTATTCGAGGTACGATCAAATCCAGATGCTCTCGTCTCACTTGAGCTCGTATGGTTCACGGTCCAGAACACATGAGGCCTCTGGCTCTGTCACGGTCTTCAAGGCGTAAATTTTGCCCATCTGTTTTCAGGAAAAAACTTTTGAAAAGATAATTCTAATAATTTTGAAAGACAAGGTCTTTACAATATCTAGACTTAATGAGCTGTTTGTATCAAAATGGTAATTTTCTAAAAACATTAGACTGGATAATGTTCAGAAATTAGGGGTACAGGTTTTTCATTACTGGACTTTGTAATGCCTCCAGGCCGGAAACAATCATAAATGAAACGGTGTTAAATAAATACTAATATTTGGAAGCAGGATGAAGTAAATATTGCTTAATTAATATTAGTATCATTAAATAAAAAGAGCCATTAGGTTTGCCCAAGGATTTCAAACTGGTCATGAATATCTAACTGAACATCACAAATCCGTTGACATGGGCACTACTGAAGGGTAAAGATTGTGTAGTTCGATAAAGATAATATCCATCAAAGAGAAGATATTATAGAGCATCAACTGTATTTAAAAACGAAGTACTGAACTATTTGGGCTCTCAATAAACGACAATAAGGTTCAAAGGGTGCGATTAACATAAATAAGCCATCAGTCGTGAGAAATAATTTCATATTTTAGACAATTGCTAATATTTTATTTTCTATTAGGAGAAAAAACGCAAATAGAATTTCTATTGATTTTTTCTATAACTTTAACAACATTTTCTTCTAAAAATATCTGCTTGGGTATATCATGCCACATCGATCTAATTATATCATAATCGGTAGATACTTACCTCTTGGACTAGCTGGGCAACTATTAGCAGCACTGATGGTACCAGTGGGCGACGGAAAAGGACTACCATAATCGACACCATCAGGGATGTTGATCCTAAGTGGATGGAGGGCAGAGGCAGGCCCACCCCCCGATCGATCTCTTATCCTACTTGGCGAGACCTCCCGAACTTGAGGGGGAGGCTCCGCACTGTCGTCCACCAATGATTGAAAAGATAACCTTATATTTGTACTAGGAAACCTAAAGGTGCATCTGAAACAAACAAACAAATTTTTAAAAACTGATAGGTACCATTTAATACTTATTACAAATATATTGAAATTTCAAGGGCAATTAGTTTCAGGCCTGTGAGAAAATAACAAATTTACACTGCTAAAGGACAATAAATATAACAAATATATATAATAAACTGTAACAGTAATTTACGGACCGGAAAGTAGTATTTTGCAGGTCGAGACATGCAGATTCCAGGGCGAGCCGTAGGCGGGACCTGGAGCCTATTTCATAAAACTACTTTGCAACTTTTCACTCTGTACTTTGCAAATAATATAGTTATTTTTGCTGGTTATTAATTTTTCATATTCACTTTGCAAATTGCTTTCCAAATTTTACTTTTTAGCTCCTTAAAATTCTCTTTTATGAAACAAATTTATTAAAATTTATGCAAAGTGAAAAGTTGCAAACTAGTTTTATGAAATAGGCCCCTGGAAGCTTCGAGAGACCTGCTTAACATAGTCCAGGGCATTTAGATGTTTAGTATTTAAGTTAAAAATTTAAGTTTATAATGAATAATTAACATTATTAAAAACTCCTATTTGTTATTTGAATAAAGTATTATTTTCATAATTTATGATTTTTCACTTTCTCCTTTACCATTTCCCACAGAGCCACCCACGAACAATTCCCGAAAACCCCCCGAGTAACGATTTTGGAGTGATTTTCGTGGACGCTGCCACTTCCCCCTTAATCACCCCCGGACAACCCCACAGAGGGACCCCTGAGCGCCCCCGGGGAAGTCTAATGCCAGAATTGAATTCGGCATCCCCGAAAACCCCAGAGTATCGATTTTGGAGTGATTTTCATGAACGCTGCCATTGAATTGTGGCTTCAGGCAGCAAATAGAGAGGACTTATTGGGAAAGATTGTTGAATACTTAAGTAAATATTACAAAATTTGTGAACTACACTTCCAGTATAAATTCGTTTATCAGTCAGGAATATTCCGAGCATGTTAAGCCTCGGCGTTCCTACCCTTAAGGACTTGAGAGTCTTAAGTCAGTTGCCAAAACCGCTCAACATATGCTATTAACGGATGGTTTTTGTATTTTATTATTTTTTTTGCCACTGGCGAATGGATGTTCCTTCTGGACTCCAGGACCCTTTGGCTGGTGACGTCGCTGCCCTAATCCCTTAATAGTATATTAACAACAGTAGCTAAAGACCTATCAGTAGTTACAAATGGTCTTTAGGCAACTGGTTGTTACATTTGCAAATGCATTCCCAACAGTATTTCCCCATTCAGAACCTACAAAAAGAGTCACAGTTTTGCAAGGTAAATAAATACAATTTATAGTTAAATGTTACAAAAAGTTTTCTACTCGTCTTGTCATTTTTTTACATTACATTTATTAGTAGTTTAAAAAATAAAATGATAAGTACTAATAATTTTAGAATATCAACCCATACATTCCATTTTGTAGAACTACCTCGGAGGTAAACTGCACTATGTCGACATATAACAACTTATGCAAATTAAAATGTAGTTATAGTAGTTAGGTTAGTAAAAAATATAAATATTGTGACACTAAATGGGTGTCTAAATGCATATCTAGTTGAAATTTAATGATTTAACAATATTCAATTTGCTGTACTAAAAAGTTAACTAGAATGACAGTGCAGTTTACCTCATAGGCACAGAAATATATTCACATTTTATAAAATTATTTTAAATTTCATCTGGCTAAAAAGTGTGACTCAAACATTTAATTCTGACAAATCATGCACCTTCTTGACACTAGTTGATCTGATAAAAATTTGGTTTCTCTTCCTTTTTTTAGAGGAATTTGTTGTTCATGGCGAAGAAGGCAAAGACAACTTGTGTCTACCCTCAACTTCAGCAGAAGTAGAATTTATTAAACAAGTGCATAGTCAACCATTTGTTTCTCTACCTTGTGGAACAGCACAAATTCAAACAAGTAATTTATTATCATCAAACACTCCAAGAAAGCAGAGACTGCGACTGAAGATAGCAACGTAGAGAAAACGTTTGTTTGGTGCAAAAAGAAGAAAAATAATTACTCATTATTTAATATTTTTTATGAATACCGTTTATATAATTATTCTACATTTTTGTTGTATATTAGGATATAGCTATTTTAATCAAGCTACTTATCTATGTATTATAAATTAGGCTTGCTCTGTAAATCTGTGTAAACAATTTTAATTATTTTAATTTTCAAACAATTCTATTTTAATAAAATACATGCACTAGATTGTAAACTTATCAATTTCATAAATACACGTTTATTTTTCTTTTTTTTTTATTCATAAAATCCCTAAAATACGCTTTAGCTAATGATTTTTTAACACTTATCCCAATTGATTTATACTTATGGATCATAAATGACTAGTGAGATTTGTGGCACAATATTAATAGTTCATTATGACAGGATAAAATAAACTATTGTTTAAAACTTTATAATTTTTATTTTTGAAACCTGTCGGAAGTGCTACAAATCAAAAAATAATTTACTTAAATCGAGAATAGTTTAAAATGCATTCATGCAAATTTTCATAAAATATGACACATAATTATATAAAAGAGAAATGTAGTTTTCGCAGTGTAGGTTCAGTGAATAGCTATGTTCGCGTGTACTGTGAGTAATTACGTTTTCTCAGAGTATCTCTGTGGTGGAACTCAAGGTCAAATATTTCTATCCCTTCAACAGAGACGTGTAACTTAATAGGAAAAATTGTTCGGTGGTCCATTTAAATTACATATATGACTTTCTTTCTCTTTTACATTGATCTTTACATATATTTATCTCCCTCCAATAAAACTAACACCAATCTAAGAGAAGAGGTCCCTGATGTTGCTGGTTTTTTGACGTCGACGTATCGATTAAAACTGACAACTGACAATGTTATGAATGTTGTTATGAACGTGTGCATTTTATTAAAATTAATTTAATTTGGGCCCCGTTTATTTCTTTGAGTCTGATTTTGTTGTTTAATGAATTTTCTTTGGGGGGGAATGTTTATTTTTGCATATTATTTTTTGCATGAAGCAATTTCTGGAACCAAACTCGCGTTTTTGTACACATTTCTTTCTAGAGGTAAGTAATTTCTAATTTATTAGGAAAACCACTGTATAATGTGTGTGTTTAATAATATATTACAAAATGGCTATAATTATTTTAGGTGAATTGGAACAGAGATCCATTTGTTCATTAAGTAGGTAGATGAATGTCTGGACAGCTTTAATGACAGCACAAAGTTCCTACCTACTAGAAAAGTAAAATGTATGTGGAGTAAAAAATTTGCACATGTAGTATTGGCAAAGGACTTTGAAATGATTAGAGATTGGCTATTTCTTACATACACCTACATCTAATAGCCACTCTAAAGGAAGAAAAAAAATTGAATACAAAAGGGCAGAATTTTAAATCAGGTTGCATTGGAAAATAAATTTGGGGACATCAGGTCGGTTTTGGATTTTAGAGAGAGATCAATCTCAAGAAAAGTTACTTTATCCTGCAGAACAACCAGTAGTTTAAGTAGGATTTGCCATAACTTTATTAGAAGATTTCCTTGATAATAAATTGTAATATACCAATTGTTTCAAATGAAATTGAAAAAGAGTTAAATATGAAATTAGATTTTTCATGGGTAAAATGTTATATTCATTCAAACATTGTAAGGTAATCTATAATTAAGGGAATATGGAAAATAGGTATACCCTGGTGGTGTAAGAGACAGGTAAGGGACAATGACAAAAAAATTACAAAAATGTATTCATCTTTAAGTAGTGTTTATTATTAATAATATTATTTGCTATGTTTGAAAAGTACCTCCTGCTGCAAAATAGATCGAATAGAGTAGACTACTAGTTTGAGAAGGTCCACCTAGTAACCAAATTAGGAGATTAGGAAAATTTTTACATGACTGGGGACACAACAGGAATGCACATGCATAAGATACACAAACAAACGAAATAACAGGGGTAAGCCTTCAGCAACGTCCTGTTTAAATGATGATAGTATGTCATCCTTCATTCCCTTTTAGAAGGCACGGCATATAAATCTATTGATCTTGATGACCCTAAGAGGAGTTAGCAGGGGGTGTACGGAATGGGTCTAGCAGGTTTCGATCCAGTTTACAGGATGGGAACTTACTCGACTCGGTCCTTATACATTTATGTTCGAGTGTATGTGTGTTTGTTTCGTTTCCATGGTTTCTATTAAAATAAACAGTCATAACATATCCATACCTTTTTGCCAGACTAATGTAAGCCACATTTGTTCAAATGGCACTTATGATAGTCTGGCAAAAAGGTATCGATATACTCTATACTTTATAAAATATTTGTTACATATTATGAATATATAACAACTGTTACTTTCTTTGTAATTTGTCACAAAATGATAGGAGGTACTTTCTAAATGAATCAATTGTAGTTTGTTTTTCTGTACCTTACAAAAATATAATTTATAGAAAAATAGAATTTTCAAGTTTTTTTTTAGCGAAATTTACAAGAGTAATAAAAACTATGTTCACTGCTTATATTAAACTGATTAAAACTTCCTTTATTAAAATGATTATTTATATGATACAAAATTTGATGTTATTGGAAGCTTTTATATTTTTTAATATGCAGTGAACCAATAATTTTTGTTTCTCCTGTAAATTTGTATAGAAAAACTATTTATTTCTGAATCCATGTTTGAATTTCCCGCCCTAACGCATTTTTAATTTTCCCGCTATTTACTAGTGGCGCCGTCATAGACTGGTTGTGGTTACAATCGCCCAAATAAGTTTTACCGAACAAAAAAAATACATTGAGTTACACGTCTCGCTAGATTGTCTCTGCCTTCAACTTCAAAGTTCCGACCATTACTTTCTTTTCTGTCTGTGGTCGCGTGACGTACAATATTTTTTTGAAGATCGATACTTCCATGTAAACTCATTTATTTAATTGAATAAAGTGATTAACAAATACTAAAACTAGATAATGGATACAACTGCATAAACTAA